GATTTTTTAGGTCTTCTACGATCATAGAAGGACATGTACAAAGAAATTTTGGAGGAGTCGGAGGAGAAGAAGACGTATCAGTGAAGCCGATGAGTTTGATGAATTTAGCCTAAGCAGAGTGACACCATGATGAAATACATCCGACTCTGACGATCAGCTTCAACACCTTACGATCCCATCTTCGAATCGCTAGTTAGATTTATGGCAAGAATGGAAATCGAGCAAAGAGTTGACAGAGTGAGAGTAGAAAATGAGCGACAGAAGAAGATGGAAGCAGTCGGGGAGCAGTGACCATAAGCAGGTGCGGTATGCCTTGGTGGGATGATAGCAAGGAATATGTATAGTGAAGGGATGATAGCATTGTATTGTTGGCGGTTCCATCCCTCAAAAATCGATGTACGTCTCAGCTTATGGTCAATAAATGGGGAAGCAGTGGGTATCACTGGTGTGTCGTCGGAGTTCCCGATATGAGATAGAGAGAGAGTGAGAAACACCCGACTGCAGCCGATGAACAGACATGGGAGAGAAAGCAAGCGGTAGTTGTGGGTGTCCGAACAGAGAATAGAAAGGGCATTTGATCGGAGAGGCTATGGAAAATTCCAGAATGTCGCTAAGATAAACATCAACAAATCCGACAAACGATGAACGACACGTGTCCACAAAGAATACGAATATTGACATAAAATGACCATAAAGACGATTTGAACACACATATATAAACGGGGGACCATTTCCGCCAAAAAGGACCCAGGTTCACTGTTCATGTTGCTGCACAAGTTTAATATATAGATAATAACTAGTAAACGACGTGCGGCTACGCTGTTTTTGGAGTAATATGGGAAAATCGGAAAACTTTAAAAGATATGTGCTGAAAGTGTAAATCACAAAACGACCATTTTTGTAATTTTTTATCAATATATGGACCACTTCTGTAAATTATAAGGACCATTTCTATAAACATAATTTTAAAGCAGGGATTGCTTATGTAAATATTAAGATGGTAGCAATCCAAAGACCAAAACTATCAACCTCCCAAACTTATTGTGGCCAAAACTACAAAAACAAAGCAATTTAAGGACCAAAATTGTCAACCTCCGAAACTTATTGTGGTCAAAACCGAAAGTATGTAAAATTTACTATTCATAAGCTCCTTGTGATATATATATATATATATATATATATAATGCTATTATGAGTAATTTTTTAAAAATGATTTTATAAACTAACTTATATTACTTTTTAGTTTTCTAAATAAGACAAACTAAAATCATTTGAAAAATAAACTAATTATAATGGGTCAAAAATAACCAGAGAAACTTAAATTACTAAAAAAATACAAAAAAAAATAAAATGTTTAGAAGTACTAGTGTTACCATTTAAATTTTTAGTATCATGTAATATTAAATATTTTTTTGTTCCAACTCAAAATAAGAAATTAATCTTATAACATTGTGAATAGTGAAAATACATCCATTAATGGGAAAGTTGTGTACAAAGGAAATGACTCGTTTAGTGAAAAGGCCAAGGACAAAGGCGTTTAACTGACTTCTTGGGGTTTGTGGGTCCAATCACCTACACATATCCCCAATTTCTTCCAATCTCCATTAAAACCGGGGATTATAATCTTCAAATATTGAGGTTACAACTTCCTATTTCAGTTGAGTGTCATCAGTTTTTGTAACAAATCCTGTTATTGTGTAATTAAATTATGAAATAACAAAATCTATTTTTAATATTAATCATTGTTTTGGTGTATATAAACATTTTAGTTCAATTACTGTATTAAATCAAACTTCTTTTAGTCTCCTTATCAATAGTCGGGTAATGACATAGATACGTAACGCATGATAGTTCAAACAAATAACATAGATGTGTAACATTTCTTTAATAAAATATCAGTGAACACCATTGAAATAATAATGTTTTCTGAACATAAAGTTCTAGTTACTTACCTTATAATATAGGATATATTAGATATATATAGTATATATATATATATATATATATATATATATATATATATATATATTAAATGTTTTTTGAAAATAAAACTTTGTTATTCAATTATAACATTAACACATTCCAATTTAATATAATAATATTAAACTTGATGATTTTATTGGGTATTAGCGAATAAATTTTAAAAAATGATCAATATTATATTAATGTTTTAAAAATCAGAATTTTTTTTATTAAATGATAGAAGTAAGATGTACAATAAGCAAATACGAACCTAAAAAGCAAGTGACTAAACAGGAGAATCTCAAAATACAATTTTATTTATAATTATTCAAAGTTCAACCTAATTTTGAGATAGGACAAATTTCTGTTTGTCTAATTAATAAGCATAGATGTAAGAAATAAATAATATATATCCATCAAGTGATTCATTCAGTTTGCTAATGGTTTTAGCTGGTAGGGGCCACCCACATAAACATGTCCCAATCGCCAAGATTATGAGCTGATGCTATCCTTTATTTGCTATCAAATTTCATCACCCACGTCACTTTCACTTCACATATTCCTATTGTTGTATCGATATTACTAACTTTCCCTAAATCCATAATCCATAATGTTTATATAACATTTTTTTGAATATGTATCATACAAACTTTCAATTTCTAATAGAAAGATAATGAATGATAATATGATAACAAGTGTTTGATCTTTCTTTTAATATAGATTTAGTCGGTCTCTGTTGAAATTTTAACAGAATCGAAAGAAAATATGTTATGATGTCTACTGACCACCGATTTTCATTTGAATCACCAAGACACATATCTAACATCCCGAAACAAACCCATGAGAATATTTTTAAGATATGAAGTTATTGGTCGAAAAGCAAAGGGAAAATCTTGAAAACTTTATGAAGATGAAGGTACCTAATGTCCTAATGGAGCAATTACATGGCATCACGTTTAAAACCTTTTCTGTGTAAGTTTTCACAAGTACTTTTGTCACAACTTGGTTTGCTTTGCCAACCCACCAAGTCCCTACGATACACTTGTTTTATTCTAAATTTGTGTCTGTTTCCTACGTTTTTAACATTCAATTTGTCTATCCTTATGTACCATAATATCCATACTCGTTGTTAAGGTTTCAATGTACACACATTTGGTACGCATGCATTACATCCCTATGACATCTTTGTTTCTTCTAAACATTACAACCTACAAAATGGAAATTTTAAGTTGCTTCAAAGTCGAATAGACATTCAATGAGTGCAAAGGTATCAATATAAGTATAATCATATAATTCAAGGACATACAAGTTTAGAAAGAAGAAAAGTATACCAATTGCATGTGTTGACCTTTCTGTTTATACATTGACCTAAATGTTGTTTCCATTTGTTAATTAGTGTTTGATATGCGGAAATATCCCCATTGCGTTGATATTAGTGTGCGCGCACACATATATTATATATATATATATATATATATATATATATATAATAATATATATATAGATATATATATAGATAGAGAGAGAGTTGAGAGAGAGAGAGAGAGAAGAGAGGGAGAGAGGGAGCGAGAGAGAGAGAGAGAGGAGAGAGGAGAGAGAGCGACTTAGGTTATTGTATTCAAAGTAATTATTGTGTTATTGTATGCATATATGTGGGCCAATCAATTTTACTTATTTTAAGTAAGTGATTATTACATATTATTAAATTAAATATAATTCAAAAATATCATCTATTCTAACTAGAATGGTATTTTAGTCAATTAATATAAATTTAATAAAGGAAATTTGCATATTTTATGCAATCATAGATTCTATTAATTTTAAAAATCCGATTTTACGAATTATAAAGTTTCAAATTCGGACATTCTGACAGAATATGTTTGAGTATGTTCAAAAATAAAAATATTCTTGAACTATAAAATAATAAAAATATTCTTGAACAGATTTCTAAAACGAATATTTTAATGAGTCCGACTTGGTTGCTGAGTTGCCTCATCCACATTCTGGTTCTGATTATCTTCTTCATCGCTAAGGTCAACATCATAATCATCTTCATCATCCTCCTATTGTTGTGATTGCAACACTTCTACTCTTTCTATAAAAATTTCTTGTAGAATAACAAAATTCTCAAACCATCAATTGAAGAATTAAAACAAAAATTACATTAATTCTTATATAATACACGTAACAATTGCTAAGAATTACATTTATTGTTAAAAAATAAAACTAAAAAAAATTTCAAATCTTGAAAAAAAAACATCAAAATCTAACAAAGACACTAATACATTCTAAAAAAATAATGTTGTTAAGAGGCGTCGTTCAAATTTTGTGGTCCGTTCTTCAAGCATCAGCTTCTGTGGAAACAAATCTAATGAATAAATTAATGAGAAAATATCCATATTTCATTCCAACATAATTGGAATTCGTGATTCCATTCGGATAGAATTGGAATTCATTTACCAATAATTATATTAACATGCCTCCATTCTTTAAGAACACAATGTCAATGACATTCTGTATAAATACATTCTGCTAGAATATACTATCATCCCTCCACGTTTTCTTTCTTTTCCTCTTCAAAACCTAAACCCACATGTCATTTGAGCGTAGCAGTCGCATAAAGTTAGGAAAAAATTAGTCACCTCGATCACCATGTCTGTAAATTAATATGGAAAAAGTGAAGTATGGTTTATCACAGCTTAACAACTGTGTATATACATTAATTTGAAGCTGGAAGAACTTCACATAGTGGAAAGGTTCTTCAAGCATTCTCTATATTGACTTCTGGTCTCGAGCATTGAATTTCTTCCATAGAATCATCAGAAAATGTTTAATCACAGAGTATCATTTGAACTATGCAAAATCCCATTAATAACAAATATACCATTAAAATAAGATTTTTTTTTTCAAACGTGGTGAGGCTGATTATCTACCAATGGGTTATTCACATACAAATTTATCAAACGCCCCATAGGTTCGATTTTGTGAAGACGATACTGGTCACTGTTGAAAAAAAATTACCTTTGATTTCGAATTATTTAAGCAAAATCGAAACAGAATGCAGCAGGAAGTGGAAGAGGGAGACAATATACAAATTTAGGGTTTCCTGTGAAACCAAAATCAACATACCTGCTATCCATAGGATGGCGAGGGATAAGCAAATGCTTCTCAATTCTGTACAATGGAAAATGGCTCAAAAACATCGACAACAATCCCAACATCACCATCCCCAATATCAACAACCTCCCTTCATCTTCAACCCCCATATATGCCGCCCTCATCTGCGACAAATACTGCTGCCTTTCACGAGAAGACGTAATCCGCTTCCTAATTGGTTGTCCTGGAGCCCTAGCTCCTCTTCCTTTCTCCTCAATTTCATCTCTCGGTGTAATTAAACCTAATTACTGCTCAATCGACGCATAGGTTTCCTGTGAAACCAAAATCAACATGCCTCCATTTTCGATCGAAATACCTGATCAATAGCGTTTGATTTCCGTTTTCGATGAGATCGGGGGTTAAATTGTGATGAGCGGAGATGAAATCGTTGCTTGTGACGAGGGAATTCCATGATTTGCAGACTGTACGACATTGGAGAATGAAATTGAGAGGGGATCACGCTTATTTATTTAGGTATACCATGATTATAGGGATTATTTTTGGAAGTTACTAAGCAAATTACTAAATTACCCTTATTTATTTATTTAATTATTTAGTTTTTTATTTTATTTTGATTAGCCCACATTGATTCATACAATAACACAATAATTACTTTTAATACCTGAACCTAACTCTCTCTCTCTCTCTCTTATATATATATATATATATAATATATATATATATATATATATATATATATATAGATATATATATATATATATATATATATATATCTATATATATATATATATATATATATATATATATTATATATATATTAATATATAGGAGGGTTCAATTGAGAAAAAAAAGGTTGAGAATGGGGGAATCATTCTCAGCCACACATTTATTTTGCCGCAAAACACTTAGGCGTATCGTCGGAAAATGGATAATGAATAAACATGTGTTTTCCAACCAAACATGTTTCCTTAAACTATGCTAATCATTACCTTAATATATACAAAAACATACTTTTTTTTGTTTTTTTTTATTTTTATTTTTAGAAAGCCATTTTTATCAAAAAAATATTTTAAATATATCAAAATTCATAATTTTTTATTCTCTATAAATAGACATCCATATTGATATAGTTTTAAGATAAAATAATTTTTTTTAGAGTTTCAGCTCTCGTTATTCATAAGTGAATAAAAATCTATCTGATTTTTATTACAGTACATTCGTTATTCATTTATGAATAAAACATATGCTTAGTTTTTTTTATAGTTTAAGTATCGTTCATATATGAATATGACACGTAATAAAGTTTTCTTACTTAAAATATATCTTTTACATCATCTTTCGTCATATATTATATTTATATATGAATAAAACGTGTATTAGTTGTCGTCATATTTTATATTCATATATGAATAAAACATTTATCAGATTTTTGTTACAGTTAATTTGTTATTCATATATGAATAAGTAGTATAAATGATACTTAAACTGTAAAAAAAATTAATTATATATTTTTATTCATAAGTGAATAACGAATGTACTGTATCAAAAATCTGATGCATTTTATTCACTTATGAATAACGATAACTGAAAATATAAAAAAAATTTATTTTATCTTAAAAGTATATCAATATGGATGTCTATTTGTAGAGAATAAAAAATCATGAATTTTGATATATTTAAAATCATTTTTCGATAAAAATAGCTTCTTAAAAATTAAAAAAACGAAAAAAAAAAACTATGTTTTTTTATATATTAAGGTAATGATTAGCATAGTTTAAGGAAACATGTTTTGTTTGAAACACATGTGTATTCCTTATCCATTTCCGCTGGTACAACGGAGGTTTTTGCGGCAAAAATAAATGAGTGACTGAGAATGATTCCTCCATTCTCAACCTTTTTTATTTTCTCAATTGAACTTACCTCTCTCTCTCTCTCTAGATATATATATATATATATATATATATATATATATATGTTAGATATTATATATATATATATATAAATATATATCTATATATATATATATATATATATATATAATATATATATAATAGTTACACATGAGATCCTACACTCTAGACGGTATAATCATGGTAAAACTAAACAATTAACACACCCTCTCAATTAGAGCAAGAGGTTCTTGTATGGTCTAATTGTTTCTGAAATCAATAAAGACCCCCACATGCTCGAGAAGAAGATTACAATGCCAATCAGCTTCAAAAACAACATTAGCTACCCCCACATACTCAACTTCGATGTTAGAGCGAGAGAAAACATGTTGTCACTTAGAGGATCAAGAAATAAGGTTCTTTACAAAGTGGACACACAAAAAAAGGTGGAACGTCAAATCTAGGGACAACTAGTCTAGTCAGCATCAGTATAGGAAACCAAACGATCAACAAAAGAGGAAAAATGTGAAGTCCATGAGAAAGAGTACCCCGAAGATAACACATAATACACTTAAGAGCGGGAAAGTGAGGTTCACGATGGTCATGTATATAGACACTTACCTGCTGAACAACGTAAGCAATATCATGCATGCTGAAGATCAAATATTGCAGAACACTCGCCAAGCTATGGTAGAGAGTGTGCTCAGAGACCGGAGTACCCTCAAATGAGAGCTTGGGCCTAGAATCTGTAGGGATGCTACAAGGATTACAAGTAGCCATGTCATCATGAATAAGAATGACTCTAGCAAAGGAAATTTGAGATAGAAATAAGCCGGTGGAGCTTTGAGAGGAAGCAATACTGAAAAAGAAAATAGAGAACTTAAATCGGACATGGGAAATTCAGATGAAAGTATGGAGATGATGTGTTGAACTAAAGATGCAAAGCACACAGCTAAGATGATATCTGATGGGTTTTGTACAAACAATCCTATGTGTGCATGCAACCCTAGAATTGGATCTATGTTTTCACTATTAGATACACAACATTATGAACACTTGAAGAACCCTAAAAGGCTTCTAGGAATTTTCGAAATCCACAAGGAAAGATGAAATACATACCTCTTGTTGTTATATTGTAATAACAACTTAAATCTTGAATCTTCTTGTCTTTGAAAGCAAGTACCACAAGTGTAGTACCTCTAATGGCTCACAAACACCAAGAGCAGATGGAGAGGTAATAGAGAGAGGGAAGAGGTATAGAATTTCGTCCCTAGGACCCCTTGGGAAGGCATGGACGAATTCATGAGCCTTAGGGGTCTTTATATAGGTGTAGAGATTAAGGTTTCAGTCCTTATCCTTATCTAGTTGCTTGCCCACCAAGTAACAATAAGATAAGACTTGAAATCCCTTATCCTTTATCCTTTGGACGATTTCAAGGATCCTTATCTCCTTGAATTCGTTCAACCCATATTTAGGATAACCATTACCATATTTTGTAACTATCACATAATTACAATTCAGCCCCTCTAGTTTAATTAATTACACTTGATCACAAAATTAATTCTTAATTAATTATTGACCGATATTAATTAAACAAATATGATTTCTCCTTTAATATATTATTCTTATAACATATTAATAAATCATAATAACCTCTTTCTCTATTATTTCTCCAGTCAAGTTGCTTTGGTGAAGGCAACCCAAAAGGACCATGCACAATCGGGTCAAGTACTTACCAAATATGGTTACAGGCTTAGACACTAATCCAATAGTCTTCCACTTGGATAAGTCTAGTAACCACAAATGTAAGTACAACTCGATTAGCAATCGTAGCTCTCAAAGACGCTGTCAAACTCTGATCTTATCAGTAACCTGTCCTTTAGATAAGGGATCATATATTCCTCCATTCTAGATATCGTATAGACGTGAGACATGGATTGAAATCATTCTCTCAGTATATGTGTTGTTTCCCGATTTCCGATTTACGACGACTGACTAATTGAACAAATCAAATTAGCCCTAGCCCGCCCGAGCATTTACGTTTGTCATCACTAAATCATCGAGGGGCCCACAAATATCGCTTTTATCCCACTTTGGATAAAAGGAACGGATAAACTTCGACTCAATGTTTGCTTGCACTCACTCACCAAATCACACACAACAATAAGTTTTATAACACCAAGTTACTGGTACGTTTACATATTATCAATGTGTAACCGATTCGCAAGATACAACTCACACATCTCGGTTTCAAGAATACAAGATATTATCGTCTCACCAATCGCTCGTGATAAAATCCATGAAGCGATCCAAGTGAGCGTGGGTTTAATCCAATGCTCAAAATCATATTCATAAGCACTCATGAACGTTGCAACAAACCTTTGCTATGTCTAATACACTTTAGACAATCTACAAACCAATTCATGACAGTCTTCATTCATACCTACTTCCAACATATGAACGACTGCGAACCGTTTGAATAATTCGATTATTCTTAATAAACTCAATTATTCTGGAAGTCAAAACATGCAAAGAGAAACACAAGAATAATACTAATCCTATATGGTCTCAAACCTTTGAGTATAAATAAAACACCTTTTATTTATCACCATATCGATTACTCATTATCCATTGTTTAATGTTTCAGATAATCAACTTTATAACTCGAATCATAACCACAATTGTCCCATGCTCAAAGCATGCACACTTTGGTTTCCTATGGTCCATACTTTGTGAAATAGATTAATTGAAACTTTTCCAATGCAACTCATTTCACAATCCCCAATCCTTATAATTAGTGTAAGAATACCAAATTCTTGCCACCTTTTAGAATATGTCAAATTCTAATTTTTTATGCAATGATCCTCTTGTGAAGTCACGGCACAAAAATCACAAAGACTCGGCCAACGAAATCACAAGGTACTCTATCAAAATTGTTACAGAACAATTCTATAGATGTGATGTCTCTCACTCAAAGTACATTCCTTTGAACATCCTTTTGCATAAAATTTTCTAATCATGTAAATTCTTAATTTCCAACTCCCAATTATGGAAACATTTCCATATTTACCATATGATAACTCATTCTTAATAGAATCTTATCTATTCATAATAATGTCGATATGATCCATTCAATACCATACTTCCAACTACTCACAAGCGACCAATCCTCAGCGAACTTTTGGGTCGTCCTTTGATAGTTGTTTAATTATCTTAGTCAATACCAATTCTTGTCCTTTTCCCTTCTTAATGCGCTAGACATTTGGAAAATTTTAGAATGGTCAAATATTATAGCAATTGCAATCGATCCTTTACCCGAAGCGTATGGGACACGATGCATAATGTCTTACATAAAGATACGATACTCTATCAATCTTCTGCCATAATATTTTATGTGTCACGTTCTTACAATTCGAACTATGAAGAGGGATACCGTAATCATAATCGAAGTTTAAGAAGACACTATGTATCCTTTGACTAAATTTATTAAAATTTCTCAATCTAAGCTTTAGATTTGAAATGAAGCACAATATTCTCTCCCTTAATTATAGCAAAACAACTTTTCAACCCTTACAACTTTGCA